CTGGCGTCTACTCATCTTTTCCTCTGTGCGGTGCAGGTGGTGTCTGTGTCTGAGAGTGCCTCTCTTGTTCTAATTTTTAGTCTTGATTTAGTAAGGGTTCTTGGTTAAATTGGTGCCATTGGGCTGTTTCTTCAGGGACAGCTGATTTCAATCGGTGAATTATATACTTATGATTCTGGTGATCTGGTTTAGTGGCTGGGTAGCGCCTTCTTCTGTGTTCCAAGGTCACGTTTTGTTCATTTGTCAACTCCTCAGCTGATCTTGTTTCTTCAGACTTCAAACTGTAGGCATCTGAATCCTCTCCCAGATGGGTTTCAGCTGAGCAGGGTAGTCTCACCAACACCTCCAAGTTGTTGGGTTTCACTGGATAAACAGTTGGGCCCTGGGTTGTCCCCAGACGGAGTACCCAGACTCGCCCTGGTTCCGACCCACGGAGATAGCCTCTTCCCCAGGTGTTGGGGTTAGGGGTGTTCCCATTCCAAGCTGTGTCCGCCCCTCTCTGTCCCCGGGCCTGTCCACCCCTGTGGCCCGCCACCACAGGCCCACCTGCGTCCACTTGTCTCCGCCGCTGGGCCTGTATGTCCCTGTCAACTGCCGCTGGGTCTGTCTGCCTCTGCGGACCGCCAACGGGCCTGTATGTCTCTGCCAGCTGCCGCTGGGCCTGTATGTCCCTGTTGGCTGCTGCCACCGGGCCCGTCCACCTCCTCAGGTCGCCGACCTGCATCCGCCTCTCTCGGCTGCCGCATGGCCCGTCCACTTCTGTGGGCCACCGCCAGGCCTGAATGTCTCTGTTGGCCGCCGCCGCCGGGCCCGTCCACCTCCGTCTGCTTATCTCTGCTGCAGGGCCTGTCCACCTCTGTGGGCCGCCGCTGGGCCTGAATGTCTCCGCCAGCTGCCGCTGAGCCTAAATGTCCCTGTCGGCCGCTGCCGCCGGGCCCATCTACCTCCACGGGCCGCTGCCACAGGCCTACCTGCATCTGCTTGTCTCTGCCATCTTCCGTGTATGTGTTTTTAATACTTTAAAATTTTTATTCAAAACGAGGCCTTCAAATTTGTCTTCTTAGCTAGGTGTGGTGGTGCATGCCTTTAATTCTTTTCTTTTTTCTTTTTTTCTTTTTGAGACAGGGTTTCTCTGTGTAGCTGTGCGCCTTTCCTGGAACTTGCTTTGGAGACCAGGCTGGCCTCGATCTTACAGAGATCTGCCTCAAGCATGGACTTTTAAAGGATAAAATTCATACATGTTGCCTTGCTACACATCATGTACAATGGAGATCTGCTACAGCCTTCCAGCTCTAATCATTTTAGTCATGTGTCCTTCATATGTCAAGAGTTATAATGAAAGAAGAAAATACATTAATTTCTTATTGGTTACTATCTTTTTAATAATTTAACAACACATGTTAAAATAGGTATTTTCTCCAATGTGATTCCTAACAGATTTATAGAGACATTTCCCATTGTAAGTTCTGAAGCCAGCTTCTCTAGTGGAGTGGAGTGGTTTTCCTTATGCTTTCTTTCTACTGTTTTCCACCAGGCACCTATAAGGGGAAAGTTACAGGGTACTAGAAACCCAGGACCCCTTGCAAGGCTGCATTTACAAGACAGAAGACTATGCACTGTCTTGTCACTATTTCCATGTATAATCCAGGGTTTGTTGTTTCGTGCTTTTAATTACTTCCTCTACAAAGAATTCTCAAAGATCCTGTATGTCAAAATGACATTCCTTTTTTACAGGAAGTCTCCTTTCCTCAGTTTTCATTAATCACCGATGAAACATGGAAGCTCTTGCTTTTCCCTTCCTTGTAGCACAGATGCAATGCATTTGAGACACACACACACACACACACAAAAAAAAAAAAAAAAAAAAACCTACAACAGCAATGTGGTTTTTTCAGCAGCAATAGTTGAGGTCCAGGAAGCCTCCACAGGATACATACAATAACATCTACAAGGGCATCGGGATAACAGCTAATGAAAACATGAGAACTGAGTGTGTTTGCACTCGGGAAGGAGCCTGTCCTGGTTGGCATTATGTCAACTTAACACAAGCTGGAGTCATTTGGGAAGAAGGAGTCTCAATTGACAAAATGCCTTAATACCTCTGGCCTGAAGGCAAAACTGAAGGTAAAACACAGGGTAGGGGTTAGCTATTGTTCCAGGAGGTCTTTGTAGGTGACTACTTTGAAGCTTTCTGGAGGAGAAAGCTGCAGTTGCTAGTCTTGTACACATTGGTCAATCTTTTGTAAACACTCAGACTCCCAAGGAAAGTCCTGCCATTTCTCTTGATCCTTGTCCATATAAAGAGACAGCTTTGCTGACTATCTTATATGCCCAAGTCTTTAAAATCTCCAACATGTTCATGGCCTTGTCAAAACACAGATTCACTCAGGACTTGACTAATTTAGAGAATCCTCTGCTCCCTACAGATTGATGTAGGACGGCCCATTCTATATGAGTGATGCCTCCCCTGGGCTGATGGTTCTGGCTGCTATAAGAAAGAAGACCAAGTTAAGCAAGTAAACAATTCTACATGGCTTCTGCAGGTCCCCAGGTTGTTTGAGTTCATGCTCTGATTTCTAGGCAGTGAACTCTTGGAGGAAAATGAAAGAAACCCATTCTTCTCCAAGTTGATTTTGGTCATGGTCTGTTATCACAGTAATATAGGATCTAACTGAAACAGAGCCACCATGATTGATAGAGTATAAGGAAACCTCAAGCCAGACATGGTACATAAAGCTGTTCCAATTCTTAATGTCAAGAAACATTTTATAAAGTTAATATACATATTAAATAAAATAAATGTAGTTTCCATTTCTGTCTGCTGTCTCCATGTGTGCATCTTGAGTACTACTTGTATTTTTAGACTGACTGAATATTGTTGCATGCAGAAATCTATGGTATGCAGCAATCCACAGCCTGTCAGAGAATAAGTGTTTGTAGGGTCCACAACTCCAATTTTTACATCTAAATAGCAATTTTTATACCTGACATTAGGCAGCTTCCTGGGAGAATAGGAAGAAAGTTTATAAGAGCCAGAGAACCAGGACCTTTTCTAGGAGATGCTGTCTTCAGTATATGAGAGGAAAGCTGCACACATGAAATTTCAACAACATAATTGCTAAAATAAGACTTAAAAGGTGGCAGCACCAATTGAACTGCCGCTGTGGCAATCTCACAAAACCCCATCCTTAGATGAAGACCTAAAGACAGTCAATGGCTACTCAGAGGGAGAATCAGTCTCCCCCAGGGATGAGCCAACTAATAGTTTATCCTGTCCAGTTGTTCATCTCTAAACACAAACTCATATGAGCAACATTAAATGTGCTCTTTCTCCCAGTCCTACACACACACACACACACACACACACACACACACACACACACACACACACAATCAACCAAACAACAAAACAAGATTAATTTTAAAAGGTCATGAAATTGAAGGGGAGTGAGGAGGATGAGGGAAGAGATGAAGGACCGATAGAAGGATGGAAATAATGTAAATACAATATTCATGTATGAAATTCACAAATGGATATAAATTTTAAAAGATTTTATCATGGATGGTGGGGTACTTATACGTGGATGAGGGGCAAGACTCACTAAGTATTTAAGTATAATTTATATGATATTTCTTTTTATGGGTATTTAAGCTTAAGAAAAACAATGAAAACTTTTAACAATTTAGGGTTAATGATTTTTTAACTCAATCAATGCCTCCTTAGGTTTCTCAGATGCTTACCCAGGAGTGGGCATGGTGCTTCTTTCTGGCTAGAAGAGAACCACAGTTGATAATCTTCCTCAGCATTCTGGAAAATGGAAGAACCAAAAGTCACACTGTACCACTTAAAGTACACCCTTTAAGTGAATTTTTTCTTCTGCATCTCTAAAACTGGAAAATATTGAGGCAGGCAATAATTCTGTTCTACATAAAAAAGGCTGCCATTGGAAATTAACAGTGGTGAGATCAGTTGTCCCTGCTCCCTCTGAGAATCTGCAGAGAACAGAAGTTCCTGCCTTCTCATTTCTGGTAGAAAAGATTGGTCAATGCAAAATGTATTCTTTCTGCTACATTTCTGTGACTCTGGGAATAAGAAATCACTCCATGCCCTGTCTCCAAGCAAGAAAAGTGTCCCTGTCACCCACATCCCTACAGGCTTTGGAGAATGTTGAGTTTTGCCATAACCTGTTCCTGTCCAGACAACTTATTACCCCAGTGCCACATGCACACCCTCTCTGTGATGACTAAGCAAAGCTAAATTTAGAAACCTTGGAACCTCATCAACCTGAGTAAAGGAGACAAAAACTAGAGAGGGCTGGAGGACACTAGAACATGAAATCTGCATTTGACCTTCATTCAGAGGTCTCCATCCTACAAAGAAAAAGGACAAATAGCTAACCTTCATAATAATGCAGAAGCAAAAAAAAAACAAGATCCACAACAGTACAGCCCATGACCTTGGATTCATTGAAACAAGCAAATGTAAATTATGTAGCATCTATTGAATTATGTTAGGCCCCCACGTGAGATGCCCAAGAAAAATGCATCAAGTAGAGTTATAGCTTATTAATAACTTTTAATTTGATCTCAGTTATGATAGTATGGTAATTAGCAAGTGCACTCCTGCACATATATGTGTACATACATACATACACACACTAAAATTAAAATGAATGAAAGAATAGCCTATATTCAAGGATTTTCAAAATATATTTCCCTCTTTCCCAGTTATTCCAGGCATCATCTATTAGATTCTTGGGACAAGTATTTAGAAGATAGAGCTCTAGTGATATATTCTAATTAAAATTGTATATCAGACCTGTCATTTTATAATTATTAATTCGAAACTTTGTGCGTAAGGAATAAACCCATATCAAAAATATCTACATGACAAAAAAGATATAGAAACAATGGCACCAAAAGATATCTAGTGATTTATATTAACAACTTTACATCATGTTCATTGGGTGTATACAAATATTTACAAACAATTCATGTATACATGCATTTTCACATGCAACACACACAGAGACACATACTGTTTATTGTGCTCTAGTGATACAAATACATTTTACATGCTGCTCATTGATATGAAATTTTACTGGAGAATACAGGAGCAGTGGCCATGTATAGACTAATATAACATGTCAGCTGACTTTACTTCTGAAAGTGAAAGGAAGATGGAAATTTTTCAAACATAGAAAGCATTTGGTAAGTGATGTGTATAGACTTATTTAAATAGTAATGGATCACAAAAAAGGCACTGGATAAATAAAAAGTTTCCAAGTTTCTTACAGGTATTCCCAGCAATGGTTGTAACTTCCTGATGATATCATTCACTGTGTCCAATTGTGCTGCTGTTACAGTGAATGACTGTAGAAAACACAGCAAAAAAAATGTTATGAATAATATTCATGAAATACCTGATTTGATAGCTATTTGTCCAAACATTTTCCACATCATGTAACCAAAGCTCCCTTCAGTTAATGGCAAAGTAAATACATGTAAGGCTCAAATTATGAGTATGGTTTTTCTTTCCTTTATATAATCTGAGGGCAGTAATAGGGATTTTAGTCTAATGTGTATCTCTTTAAGGATTTGGATCAAAATGTAATAGGATGTGCACTGATGAGCTGGATTATGGGAGATGGTAAAACAAAAGTGCTTTGCCCCAAACCTTATGACACAAAATATAACCACAGAATATACATGGTAGAATGAAAGAATCAATTATGGCAGTCTTCTGAATTATACACTACACACACACACACACACACACACACACACATACAACACACACATGCACGCATGTATGCACACACTCACACATGCACAGATACAAAGGTTGAAAATGAGATTATATTTTCAGAAGAGACACAGGCTCTGATCCTCAGCTATGAGTCCGCTTTCACAATGGGAGGGAGGTCTTTTGTAGAGATGGGGAAGCATTTTCTTGTTTTCACACAATGTGTTTATAGAATTGATTTATTTCATTACACATCTTGTATTCATTTCTCATAAAATCATATGAACTGCTACAGAATTTAAACAACAACACTATGCAATGAGGATTCCCTGAGACTGGCTTCATGGTTAGTTCAGTTGCCCCTGGAATCTATTGAGATGATGAATATATGAATCCAGAATGAAGATTTTAGTCATTAAAATTTCCATCCCTATACAGAAGACGATTGTTTGGCTCAAACTGTTTGGGGGGCACCCAGGCAGGGGAATCGGGATCCATCCCTAATGCATGGGCAGGCTTTTGGGAATCGGGTGCCTGTGGTGTGACCCCTTGTGCAGCCTTGGTGCAGTGGGAAGGGGCTTGGACCTGCCTAGGCTCAGTGTGCCTGGCTCTGCTGACTCCCCATGGGAGCCCTTGATTTGGGGGACGTGGGGATATGGGGTTCACTTGGGAGAGAGGACTGGGGGGAGGGAGGAGGTGGGATCAGTGGGTGGTATGTAGAGTGAGTAGAAAATTTCTTTAAAAAAAATGAAAAAAGAATTTCCATCCCTAAATCTGCCAATGACTAAGGTCTCTATGGTAGGAGATAATACTACACTTCATAATTAGAAGCTGTCCACAGAAAGAAGAAGATATTTCAAGAACACTGCTACTACACATGACAGTCAGTTGACAAGAAAGTTAACTATGCTTACAGATTTTTGAAAGCAGATGGATCTGCATTTGCAGATGTATCCTCTGGTAAACATCACTTAGAGAAGAAAAACAGCAGAAATGACCCTCTCTAAAAACAGTAAACAGTGTTAAAGGGAAATCCTTTCAGGATCTAGTAGTCTTACGCTAACTTTGTGTCAACAAACATGCTACACACCACAAGCTAAAAAAAATAAAACTTCTAGGCCAAAGAATGGATGACTTCTTTTGGAGTTGTTGAACAGTGGGGTCCCATAGGACCCCCAAAACTAGGCTATTATCATTGCTCTTGATTATTATTCAGAAATGAATGGCAAATCCCTACAGCTGAACATGCTACAATACTTGAGTCATAAAACAAAAGAGAAATAAAGCTGGTATTGACTTGGAAATTCATATCTACTCTCTAACTCTGATAATACTCAAGTTTGGAAAACGTGCTACTGGAAGACAACAGCAATCTTCCATCTAATCAGCAGTAGACTCTGCAATTTACAATTTGCTCAGCAAGATATGGCCAAGGGTGCAATAGTATCTAAATAAAATTGACTTTATAAGATATCAAGGTGATTTTCTGTACACACACACACACACACAAATAAGCACAAAAGCATTTGCCACAATTGAAATCAAGCAGAAAAGAAAGCACTTTCCTTCAGGAAGGTCTGCTCATCCCTCTCTCCCCCATACTCTGGCACAAAACTCAGGTGACAGCATTCTCCTTGCTATTGCACAGGGCACATACACTCTAATTCTACCATTTGCCTCCTTCACTGCTATGTTGTCTAGTATAGAACGTTTGTACAGGACTGAGCATAGAATGTTTATATTCATAAATATACCAGTTACTACACTGCACTCTTAAAGTTTACTATACCAGTTCAGTGCATTTATATATAAAAATCAAGCACATACTAATTCCTTTATAGTAACCATTCCTCTCAACTCAATAACTCCTGATGATCGCATAAAAACAAAGACCTCCAGATTACCGAATCTCACATAACAGACACCTGACCCATCAGTGGACTTTTCTCTGGAAATAGAACAATACTCAAGTAATGGATGGCAAATGGAATTTGGGTGAGAAACTGAAATTTCATGGTAGAGGTGTGCTTCAGTGGATGGGCAATTGTCTCGTACATGTGGAACCCTGTGTTTATTTTCAGCACTACTCATACACTACACACACACATGCACATAATACACATACAAAAATCCCCAACATGCAAAGGAATGTTATTTTTAAGTACACAGATGAAGTATAACTATATGAAATAATTTTTCATACTTGAGAGATGCATAAGCATGCAAGATAAAAGAGCCACAATGCATTAAGGAGATCATACACACATGCACAGATACATAAACACATACACCAAAAAAAGAGTATTAATGAACAGGTAAGGTAGAGTGAATGTCATTCTTTGTCTTGTTTTAAACTTTTATGTATGATTATAACTATGCTAACATAAAGAAAAACTATTTCGAAGTAACTGAAAATCATTTAAAAGATGTTAGGAAAAAATAATTGAATCTGTAGAAGCAATGGCAATTGAGAAAAACATAATTACAGTAAGAAATATCTGCAAAGGTGTTTTATAATAACACCTCTCACCAGGCACAAAATAATTTATTAAACATATTGTACTGTAACTAACATGTACATGTAACTAACTAATCCTAACTAGTTCTCCTATGTATAGGCAAAGACATATTTATATGTATGAAAATATTTTTCCAAATAGCACTATCTAATTTTCCAACCTCCTACTTCGTCCCCCTCTTGTCATCAACCTTATCTTCAAATTTCCTCCTGTTTCCCATTCCTTGCCCTTTCATTCCCTCAGTCAGTTTCATGCAAGGAAATATTGGTCTTTTGTACACATACAGTATTCCAGTTTGGGATGTCCTCTGTGAGTATCTCAAGTGCAATACTCTTTCCACGGTCTTTCTCCTTATGTTCATTAATGGATCTGGTCAAATTCAATAAAACAAAAAAATGTGAAGTAAACTGTCTAGTTGCTTGTTTTCATATTAATCAAGGATGTAATATTAAATTTTTAAATTGATAGACACAGCAATAATTTTTGCAAAACAAACAAACAAAAAAGCCACAGGGCATGTTCCAGAAGATAGCATGATGCACTGAAGTGTGACATTTAGGAAACAGATTTGGTTTTGAAAGCATTAGTGCCCACATTAGAGGTATCATGGTCATACATGGTTCAAAACTAAGAAGCAGCATTTCCTTTCAGTGTGCATAGTAAGATAACTTGTATTGATAATAAATTAATATGTTCCAGAATATTGTTTGATCCAACATAAAGGTTGGAAAAGGAAAGTATGAAGATGGCAGCCACCAATTCCTCAAAATTGGAAAAGTGAGAAATTGCAAGAACATCCAGGAAACATAAGCAAGAAAGAAAATAACTGGAGATAGTCTAATCCTGATGCCAAGACCAAATAACCAACAACCAAAAAGAATAGTATACACCAAGATCTCTGATGAACTTTCATGCAAAAATTATTAATGAAATACTTGCAAACAAAATTAAATAACACAAACAGATTTCCCAGTATGTTCAAATCATCTTCATCCCAGATATGGAGGAAAGTTTCAACATATATAAAATAAAAAACATAATCTACCATATACATGGACTAAAGGATAGAAAGATGATCACCCCATTCGATTAATGAAAGATCTTTGACAAAATACAACATCAATTTGTAGTAAAGAAGTCTTGGTGAGAATAAAGATGCAAAGGATGTATTTCAATGTAATAAGGGCAATATACAGGAAACCCATAGACACAGTCATCCTAAAAGAGAAGAGACTCAAAATGTCAGTACTAAAATCAGGACCAAGTCAAGTTTATTCTTCTCACTTCTCCTCAACCTAGTCCTTACAATGTTAGCTAGAGCAATAAAACAAGTGAAAGAAATGAAGCAGACACAGATGAGAAAGAAGCTGGCATGTATTTATTTCCAGAGAATACATAAAAACCTAGAGTACACACAAAAAAAACTCCTAAAGCTGATAAATATTCAGAAAAGTAGGATACAAAATTAAAACACACCAATAAGTATCCCTCTTATATACAAATGACAAGCACAGAAAGAATGAAATCAAGGTGACAATTCCTTTCTCAGTAGTCTAATAAAACAAAATACAACACAAAAAATCTTGAAATAGATCTGACCAATAAAATGGAAGATTTGTGCAATGAAAACTTTAAAACACTGAAATAATTGAAAATATCAGCATATGGGAAGACCTCCCATGCTCCTGGATTGGCAGGATTAATGTTGTGAAAATGGCTATGCATTATGTATTCAATGCATTTGCCTTCAAAATTCCAACAAAATTTTTCACATAAATTAAAAATCATTTTTTAATTTCATATGGAAATACAAATGACTGAGGATATTTAGAACCAAACTAGATATTAAGCATCATGATAAACAATAACAAACATGCTAGATGTGTCACCATACCAGATCTCAAGTTATGCTGCAGTGAAATAATATATACAAAAACTGTACTTTCATAAAAACAGTAATTTATCAAAGGAATAGAATTTATGTCTTCATATAAACCCAAATTGCTACAGTCATCTGATTTTTGACAAGGAAACTAGCCATACACATTGGAGAAGATATAGCATCATCAATAAGTAGTGCAGTTCAAATTGAATCACTACATGTAGAAGAATGAAATTTGAAGTTTATCTCTTACCCTACACAAAACTCTCTGATATCACAGATCTTATATAGGAGAAAATTAGGAAATATATGCAAACTCATTGGCAAACAGTGTTAATGTCTGAAATATATAAATAACTAAAAAAATGAACATCAAGAAAGTAAGCAACCCAAATAAAAATTGGAGGACAGGACAAAAAGAGTTCTCAAAAAATGTCATACATAGAAAAATACTTTTTAAATTTTAACATCATTAGCCACCTGAAAAATAAAAATTAAATGTATTTTAAGATTTCATCATACCTTAATCAAGATGACTAAGATAAAAACTTCAAATGATGACAAATGCTGATGCAAATGTTAGAAAGGAAGAACATTTATCCACTCTTGTTGTGAATGCAAACCTATACAGCCACTATGGAAATTGTGTGTAAGTTGATCAAAAAGAAAGAAAGAAACTTACTACATGATTCAACTATATTAGTCTTCCATATGCACCTGAAGGACTCTGTAACCTACTCTTCAGATACCTGCTCATCAATGCTCTCCTCTTAATGGACAGAAAAAAGTCTATATGCTCATCATATGATGTAGCAGGAATCTTAAATTGTCTTATTAATAAAAACAAACCTGAGGACACTTTATTGGGGTGAATGCTGGAATATCAGCGAAGCAGAACAAGCCACAGCTACCTCACCTCACCAGTTCCTCAGCTGATCCTCTTTCCTCAGACTGGAAGCTTCTGTGTCCTCATCCCAATGGCTCTCAGCTGAACTGCTGCTCAAAAGCCTGAATGCTTAACCAGCCAAAAGCTTAATCAGCCAAATGTTTCTAGTTTCTGGTCCTTGCGCCTTACATATCTTTCTGCTTTCTGCCATCACTCCCTGGGATTAAAGGCTCACTTCTTGGAATTAAAGGTGAGTGTTACCATGCCTGGCTGTTTCCAATGTGGCCTTGAACTCACAGAGATCCAGAGGGATTTATGCCTCTGGAATGCTTAGGATTAAAGGCATGTGCTACCACTCACTGCCTATCCTCTATGTTTAATATTGTTCTCTTATCTGACCCCAGATAAGTTTATTAGCGTGCACAATATTTTGGGGAGCACAATACCACCACAACATGATGAAGGGATGAAGAAAAGGTGGTATATTTTCACAACAGAATACTATTCAGCTATTGAGAAGAATGAAAATGAAAATTTGAACTTCACAGATAAATGCATAGAGCAGGAAACAATCACTTTGAGTAAGGTAACTCAGACTCATATAGACAAAAGTAAAAAAATTTCTCTCCTATGTGAATGTTAAGACTCTTCAAATATACATGTTTAATTTGAAATAATGTTAGAGATCTGAAATTTACAAAAGGGTAGTAGGGAGGCATGTTCTGGGAAAGAGATATAGAATATACTAGTATACTGGATTATAGGGAAATAATGAATCAGGAAGGGTTAAATGGATGGGAAGCTGAAGGTAAGGTAGACAAGAAAGTATGAGGAAGGACAAATAACACTAAAGACTATCAAAAAAGTCATGAAAAGCTACTTGTGTAGAACCTTCATATATACTAGATCTTGAATGATTTTTTTTTGAAGGACAAAATTGAGTCCTACTGTAGCTGGCCTGCAGGATCCCATCACCCATCCTACCTTCATTCTCTGGGGACTCTACCTATTGGTGCAAACCCAGGATCCTACTACATCTTTCATTCTAGTCTGGTTAGACTGTACTTAGTACTGTGGAAGCTGCATTCAGGAACTCTCTTCACATAACCTCCATTCCTTGGGGATTCCACCTCTTGATATTGGCATAAAAGTAGACATGTTGATCAATGAACCTGAAGTTAATATCTAGGCATTAGTCAACACACCTAAAGACACCTGATTTTTCACAAAGAAGACAAAAACACACACTGAAATAAAAGACAGCATCATCAACAAATGATACTAGGCCAACCAGAGAGAATCATATCCATCATCCTGCCCAAATATAAACTCAAAATTTCATCATAAGAGCAGATACTCCGAATCTGATAGAAAAAAATGGGTATTACACACCACTGGAGAAGAAAAGTAATCCTCATTAGACCCAGCTATGAACTCTGCAATCTACAGCTGTAACATGTCTGAAAGATGTACTGGTGCAATACAGACACATGTGATGAGAGTAACCAACCACCTTTTCATTGATGTTAATGCTTACTTCAGGAGATGGTACCCATAAAGGACACAGATTAAAGTAGCCAGAATCTCAGACTAGATAAGACATAGGCCTTGAGAAAAATGGACTACTATTAATGTACCAGACTCTGCTGACTCCCCATAGGAGGTCTTACCTCGTTGGAGGAGGGATTGGGGTGTGGGGTGACTGGAGGCAGGAGGAGGAAATAGAGAGGGATCTGTGGTTAGTATGTAAAATGAATAAAAAATTTCTTAATAAAAAAGTCACATTTTGTTAGAAAATAAAGAATATAAAATGACTCCTGATGACATATTGCTATACCTTACATCAACATATCACTTGATACTCATCAGAGAAGCTTGGTCTCACAGTATACTGTAATTAAGAAAGAGATACCCAGCTTGAAAATGTGCAGAAAGTGAGACACTTTGGAGCACTTAGTCCTAAATGGATGTCTTCAAGAATTTATGAGGACCGGCAGACAGAAAGATTGTAAGAGTCATAAATGATAAATGACTCAGAAACAGTGTCGTCCATACATAACAGGGCTGATGCACATACAAACAGAGACAATGACAGCAAGCATAAGACCTGTACGGGTTCAAGCAAGATGGTGTGTCAGCACTGAGAGGGGAAATAGAGACAAACTTCCATCCCTACCCACAAAGCTATCTGCTATTTACACCAGCTGGCAAAGAGAAACCACTTTTCTCCAGTGGACTGTTACTGGGTTTATCAACCACATATCAGGGCAGGTCCCATTCCAGGGAGCAGTTGGCCAACACAAAACAAACTCAGAGGTACATTGGTGGATTATTTTTGTTGTTGTTTTATCTTCCTTTGTTTTGGTATTTTTTCCTTAACATCCTTTTGTTTATGAAGAGGGGTGTGTGTGACTATTTTGGGTGGAGAGATTGTTTCTTTTTCTTCTGATTTGTAGGTTTTGAAAAACAGAAGGGGAGAAAAAGAACCTAAAAGTGGGTATGTAGGAAGAATCTAGGAGGAACTAGGAGAGGGAAAACATGATCAAAGTGTATTTTGTGAAAAAGGACACTGTGTTATGTTGATAGAGAAGGGGGTGGATCTCGGAGGAGTTGAGAAGATAAATTTGTAAAGACATAAAAACAAAAAAGGTGAGCAGATTAGGGTGTTGGTTAGCAGAGTATCTCCTTCTTTCCTAACAAATTAAAGAAGTAAAATATGTACAGTTACAAGATACCTTTGAAGTAAAGTATACCACTCTCTTTTTTGGGCAGAGGAACTGTAATATAAAAAGTAAGAACATTAAAGGAAGCAAAATATTGTTAGATTTTACATATATCATGACCAAAATACCAATGTCTAATACCAATATGGGTAAAGATAAAAGAAGTCTCCTCGTGTTAGGATTTCTGTTAGAACCTGTGACCTTACAGTGATGGCAAGCAACAGTACGATCCAAACTCTCTAATCTCAAGCAGGTAAGGGTACCTCTCTAAGCCTTAGGTTCCCCACAGTTAAAGGGATAACTGTCTCAAATAAGTCTCACTGGTTGAGTAGCTTGTCAAATTAAAAAATACATTATTTGCATTAAATTAAATCATACTTCAGGAATTTTAAATATGGATGGAATACTTGACTGAGAAATAATATATTTTAGATAAATAGCAGACACATTACTATTTAGGCAAATTGCAGAAACAGATTTTGTTAAATAGTTTGTGGAGTATTCATTCTTCACATATTGATTCTCATACTAATATCAATTTACATGCTATATTCCTGATCACCTATAGGATACTCCATTATGGATTTTAGTACTGGAAATAAAAATGTTTTGAGGATAAACTTGGCCCTACCTCTTCTGAAAAGTTTGTTAAAGTACATGCAATATATAATTGATCAAGAGTGAGAACATTTGTTCACTCACAATAGTGGCCACTAACCTGATAATGCTACGAACATTTTCCTTATCATAGATGATTCCTAAACCAGTTCACTACTCTCATTCTTCTTCTCCTACATTCTACTCCATATTTCTTTTATACATTCAATGGCTGAATACTTGGGTTCTTGCCTCTTTTTGGAAGTTATGAACTGTGCTTTGAGTTAATTTTATTCAGAGACTTTTGTGTGGTGGTACAACGTCATTTTCATGTGTCTACATCCAGGACTGGAGCTGATAAGTCATACAGAAATTCTGTTTAACCTTCTATGGAACCACCAGGTTTCATTTTCCCTGAAGGATAGCACAATTTTTGTTTATACTACTAGCTATTCCCCACTTCCCACCAGTGTTTTAGTGTAGATCTATTTCATCTGATGTGTAGACAATCCCTATAAATCACAAAATGCACATGTATGCGGATACTCCTTCTAATTACACTGAGTGATATAAGTGAGATAACAGCAATTACGAAATACAAAAGATGACAGGCAATATTCAGCTATATATCTATATAACCTAACCTAACTTATAGAAAGATGATATCCACAATTTAAGAAAAGATCTTGGGCCTCTCTCTCAAACACTTCAAATATTTCCAATATAAATTGAAAATATGAAAAAAGAGAAATAAAAATACTAGCTAGTTCTGGTATGGAAAATAAGATACACAGAGAATGGCACAGACACGGACATCTTACTAAAAAGCTCTGTAAATACTTTCTTCAAACCAATAACCGAGGCAGTGATTCATAAGTTTACAAACCATGGAGGCATGTATGTCAACTTACTGAGCTCTGATGAGAGCTAAGGTCTGGGTAGAGGAGTGAGGTGAGTAAAGGTGGGTATGGAGAGACAGGATGAACTGCTCTTGTGCAAACCAGTGCAAGTGCTGCTGTGTGGGTGTTCAGAGCAGCGGGTCTGTGCACAGGACCCTTCTGAGTGCAAGGGTTCTGCTGGAGAGCTTCCCACTACATAGAGAAAATCCATATTTAATACCAGCCTGAGAATGTGAACTCAAAAATAACATATGCCCACAAGTCTCCTCTAATTCTGATGGTCTAATGAACCATTCCTCTCAGGTTGTCTGTAGATACTAAGACTGAAAAACTGCTACACAAACATTCAGGGATACCAGAGTTTACACTGTCATTATCTTTTACTACAAACGATCAATGTTCTTTGGGAGTATAAATGGATCTTTTCAAACTAACTTGCATACCCAATAGTATTAAAAATCCATATTCATATAGTTTTAATGCACAGATAACATCAGATTGTTGTTGGAATAAAAAGACGGCAAGAAGGCCAAATATCTGCTCACTCAACTTATTTCCACAGTACGTTAAGACCTCTGTCACCCCAACACAAGGAGGTAGAGATGCTGACTGACAAACGTAGGATATGTATTTTAAGATGGACTCCAGTACTATCAACTATTGATCAATTTAGACATGTCTTCATGCAGGTAGCTCTCTAGAGGTAAATACTAGGCAATCAAGTGCCAAAACATCAGATTAGAAACAGACCTGACAGTGTGTTTGTAACTAGATAAGACTGATTTCTTTCCTTAAAATGTTTTAGTAAAAAGAATTTCTGTCTGCATTTTCCATTTGTTCTGGACAATATGAAGTTTACTATGTCCTTCAACAGCCAGCTCATGTCAGCACAAGACCAAGCTATGGGTCTTACTGAAAGGTGGCCACAAAATTCTCCACGGGCCATCCCAGGAGAATGGATTTCCTGGCCCGACTAGGGCCTACAAAGTTGGTGACCACACACTCCCCCATCCACAGGGCAGTCAGCGGGATGATGTATTTTATTTTGTAGGTTATCTTAAACCTAAAATAGGAATTAAAGAAGATCTATTAGTTTGCTTCTTAAACAAGGGAACAGTGGGATTAACAGAAAGACCCAATTCTTCCTTTCCCAGAAAAAGCAGGACTCACCCATCTCTTTCACTGCAGACACAGATCAGCAAATGAACAAATGCACCTTGACAAAGCAAAGGCTGAAGGAAGCTTGCCTAGGGGAGATTCTAAATATACCTTTTCCATGTGTGCAAACATCTATGGTCTGTTTATTCAGAATGTTAAATGCTAAGTATACATTATGCTGTGCATTTGAAACATAGTGCTCTGAAAAATTATTCATATAAAGACAGGAAAACAATTTAAACACTACTTCAATAAAAGGCTTTCTTAAAACCTATGTAAGTAAATTGTGTTAAAGCCAAGGCCCTACATTCTGTACATAAGTACTTAATGGGCACCTGCCACTTATGAAGAACATTGAAAATATTTAATTTTCAAATAACATCACCTGAACTCTATTTGCCACACTTTCTAGATCAAGAAATGTCATAATGGCTAATAGCCATTTCTATTGGGACTGTATGCTTATATTAGGGGTGAGGGGATAAATTATGTAAACTTGTTATCAATAAATCTACAGCTACCTTGAAAATATATAAAATGTACCATAACATGCCTTTTTACTCAAACACTTGCTCATCTGTTGCCTAATGTGTTTCTTCCTCTTAATAACTGGATCTACCTGACTGTGACAATGACTTTCTAAAGTGGAGGGATTAGTGACATGTGCCACCAATCACGGATGCTTCAGTAGATTTTTGACTGATTCTCTATAGGGTCACAGGACAGACTAAGATCTCAAGAAACTGTTGAATAAATAAGGAATAAAAACATTTGTAAGCACAGAAGTGTAAAAATCCTTTTGATTTGTTTTACAATCAGGGTTGGAGATAATACAGTCTTTGATAATCAATAAAATATAAAGTAAATACATACCGACTATTAGTCACAACCAAGAAGTCTCTGTACAAATGGAGATGACAATTCTTACTGCTACAGCCTCTTCTGAATTCTACCGGTCCATGAAACATCAGGTATTGAATATTCATCTCACCAGCTACAACTTTCTCATTGACAGTTTCCATCAAAGTAGAGAGGCTTTTCCTGTTACAGGCCAAACACTAACAGAACAGATAGTCAATAGTCAACAAAATAACTTAACACAAAAGTTGAGGAGTTACATGAAATTAATCATGAAGTTTCAATTCTTATAGCAGGGCTCCACTGAGTAACAGTTTTTAAACATACGGAATGGATAAGGACATTTAGGAAGTTGTACTAAGAACAGATTCAAGACCTGGAATTTGAAGAGTAATATAGAATGAAGGAAAAAGAATCAGCACATCAGTGTAACATTGTGATAAGATAAATGGCCATATTACAAGTAGTGTATAATAGTTGTGTCAAAACTACAGCAAGTCCAAGATATGTAGCAATTAAGAACTGGCCAACAGAGTAGCAACATGTAAGCAATTGAGAACATTAAGCCAAAGACAAACAAGATCTGTTGAATGACAGGAAGACTTTCATAAAGGACCAAGAAGTGCAGAATTTTCCTCAAAGATCCCAAATCTCTGATTCCTCCAAACTATGAATATGTCAGGTGGGACAGACATCATGCAGATGTCACTGACATTATGATCCTGAAGCCCATCAGTTCTATTCTCGTCACCTAAGATACAATAAGTCATAGTGATCAACCCAGATACAGTCAGACAACTGTCACTCTAGGGAAAGTCAGATTTTAAGAATAGTAGAGATTCAACCTGCGGTTGTTGTCTGAAGTGGAGTGGAATGCATGGGAAGAAATACAGTTTCCTCTGAGGAAACCACAGTACTCAGGTGACCATCCTCTGTAATAATCAAATTAAGTTCAAACTCTGAAGGAGGCAAGAATCAGATCCTTCTGAGTCTCCAAGGAAGACTGCAGCCCTATAATAACCTTGAACAACCTGTTCCACCATGAGTATAGGAACTATAAAGTCCACCTGCCCTACTGTCTATGTAATTGAAGCTTAGCAGTGCTGTTTTCAGTGATTAAGATTTTAACGATTGTTAAACATGTATTTCATAGCACTTGGAGGGAAGTTGGCTCTGTTGCATCAAATGCCAAAAATGTGGAAAAGGCAGAAAATAGATTTTTTAAAAAGTTGAAGGATTTTAAAGAACAAAGCTTGTCTTATTTTGAACAAATTGATACCCACATGCAGACTTTTGGGACTAAAGACTTGGCTATGGAGCACTCTGATAGAAGTTAAGATCACTAAATTAAAGCATTATTTCTTTAGAGCATGTATGAATCATCCTAAGTTCATATTGTCAGCAGTAATAATTGTACATATACTGTGCATAAACAATCTTAGGAACATGTAATTAAGGCTCCAGGAAAAGATTCTAAGTATTTTATGTCTTTAGTCAATGATATATCCCTATTAGAATTGTGCCTCTGACTATGCAGAACATACAGTTTTAAAATCATGACATTAAATATTTAGTCAAAGCCATCTGAAAGAAATGTGAAAATAATGGTATTCTGTGCATAACATTCTTATATTAAAAATCAATGTAGGTAGTTCTAAGAGGCAAGTTCATAGCACTAAGTGCCTACATAAAAACTTGGAGAAATCTAATAATAGTAACTTAACTTTCCAGATGCTCAAGAACAAAAGGAAGTAATCACACACAAAGAAGTATATGTACAAAAATAAACTCGGGGATGAAATCAAGAAATTAGAAAAAAAACAACAACATCAGAGTATAAAGAAATAAATGAAATAGAGTTGCTTATTTGAAAAAACCAAGTAAAACTGACAAACTTCTATCCAAATTAACTAAGACAGAGAGATAATATCTCTATTAGATAGGGTTTGTATTACTGTGATGAAACACCATGAACAAAAAACCAAGTTGGGGGGGAGGATTTATTTGGCTTACACTTCAGCATTGCTGTTCATCACTAAAGGAAGTCAGGACAAGAACTCAAACAGGGCAGGATCCCAGAGGCAGGAGCTGATGCACAGGTCATGGAGGGGAGCTGATTACTGGCTTGCTTCCCATGGCTTGCTCAGCCCACCTTCTTATAAAACCCTGGACCATCAGCTCAGAGATGGCACCACCCATCATGGGCTGGGCCCTCCGCTACTGATCACTAAATGGGAAAATGCCTTACAGCTGAATCTCATGGAGGTGTTTCCTCAACTGAGGCTCCTTCCTCTCTGATGACTCTAGCTGGTGTCAAATTGAAACACAAACACAGTCAGTACAATATCAAAATTAAAAGAATTAGAGATAAAAAGGATATATAACAACAGACGTGGAGGAAATCCAAAGAATCATAAGAACATACTTTAAAAACCTGTAGTCCACCAAATTGGAAATTAAAATAAGTGGCTAATTTTCTTAATACGTATGAGAAAGTTAAGACTAGGTAAGTAATTTAAACAGACTTATAACTCATAGTGAATTAGAAGCAGTCATTAAAAATCTCCCAACCAAACAAAGCCCAGGGTCAGATGGTTTTAACACAAAATTCTATGAATGTCAAAGAAAAGTGAAGTCTAATACTCCTCAAATTATTCCATAAAGTAGAAAAAGAACATTGCTCAATTTTTTAAATGATGTCATACTTACCCTGATGACCAAACAATTCGAACAACAAAGAAAGAGAATTACACACCAATTTTCCTTATGATCATACTTGAAAAAATACTCAATAAAATTCTTGGAAACTGAACCCAAGGACACATCAAAAAGATCTTCCCCCATGACCAAGTAAGTGTACTTCATCCCAGAGATGCAGGGATGGTTCAACATATGTATATTGACAAATGGGATCTATGATATAAAGAAATTCAAAGACAAAGCCAGGACAGGAACTCACTAACAATTAGATATAGAAAAGGACTCTGGCACAATCCAACACACCCCTTCATGATAAAGGTCCTGGGGAAATTACAGATACAAGGGGCATACCCCAACATACTAAAGGCAGTTTATGGCAAACCCAAGGCCAACAACAACTTAAATGGAGAGATATTCAAAGAAATTCCACTAAAATCAAGAACAAGACAAGCTTGTCCACTCTCTCCATATCTATTCAACGTAGTACTTGAAGTCTTAAATAGAGTAATAAGAAAACTGAAAGAGATCAAAGGGATATAAGTTGGAAAGGAAGGAGTCCAAATATCTTTATTTGCAGATAATATGACAGTAAAAATAAGTGACCCTCAAAACTACACCAGGGAGCTCAGACATTGATAAATGTTTTGAGGAATGTAGCAAAATACAAAATTAACTCACAAAAACCAGTGACACTTCCTATATACAAATGACAAATTGACTAGGATAGAAATCAGGAAAACACTATCTTTCAAAATAGTCCCAACTAATACAAAATACCTTGGATTATCTCTAACCAGGCAAGAGAAAGACTTGTATGATAAGAACATCAATGCATTGAAGAAAGAATTTGAAGAAGACATCAGAAAATGGAAAGAAATCACATGTTCATGGATTGGTAGGATTAATACATTTAAAACGGCCATAGTACAAAAAGCAATCTACAAATTCAAGGTAATCCCTATCAAAACTCCAACACAATTCTTCACAGATCTTGAAAGGACAATTTTCAGCTTTATGAGAGAGA